CAAGGGGGGGAGGATGTTTACGTGAGGGGCCTTTGTGCCGCAACTTTAAGAGCGCACCCGCGCTGAAGAGCGCACCAGCACTGAAGAGCGCACCCGCGCTGAAGAGCGCATCCGCGCTCGCCCCCCTTTGCGCTTTCGCTCCTTCGTCGGCCGTCGTCGATCGTATTTTTTCTATTACTTTTGCCTTGTTTGCTTTTCTAAGTTAAGTTAGTTTTCGATGTAAGCAGCCCAATAAAGCTGACCGCGTTATATCCAGAGGAAGACGCCCCCGACTTTTTATTTATAATTTCATCCCTCATCCTGGAATCTTTTGCGGAAACCACGCCCCCCTACAACCAGACACTATTGGTCCACTGCCAAAATCAGAAAATGGCAATGAGTATGCAGTCACTTTAATATGTGATTTAACTAAGTATTTAGTTGCCATACCTGTTCCGAATAAAAATGCCGATACTGTCGCTAAAGCAATATTTGAATCTTTTATCCTGAAGTACGGTCCAATGAAGACGTTCATTACGGACATGGGAACAGAATATAAGAATTCAATTATAGACAAATTGTGCAAATATTTAAATATTGAAAATATTACATCCACAGCACACCACCACCAGACAGTTGGAACAATAGAAAGAAGTCATAGAACTTTCAATGAATACATACGATCCTACATATCGGCTGATAAAACTGATTGGGACGTATGGCTTCAATATTTTGTCTTCTGTTTCAACACGACCCCCTCTATGGCACATACTTATTGTCCATATGAGCTAGTATCGGTAAAACAAGTAATTTGCCAAAACATTTTAATAGCATAGATAGTGTAGAAGCACTATATAATATAGATGACTATGCTAAGGAGAGTAAGTATAGATTAGAAGTAGCCTATAAAAGAGCTAGAGTTATGTTAGAAGCAAATAAGAATAGAAATAAACTACTATACGATCATAAAGTAAGGGATATAGATATATCAGTAGGTGACAAAGTTTTATTAAAAAACGAGACAGGTCCGTATATAGTAACGGAAATAGGAGATAGAGATAACATAGTAATAACAAATAAAAAACATAAGAAACAACCAGTTATTTCATAAATTGCACTTAGTATGGCCATATAAAGACACCCATACATAGATAAATAAATACACATATTCTTTTAATAAGTTCATTTTCTATGATTCTAACAACATAAAACAACAAAAAAAAAAAAAAAAAAAAATGTATTAATTAGAAATTTTTATTATAAAAATAACTTCATTATTATTACGTTATTTTTCAAAAGGAGGGAGATGTAGTATGTACATATATTGAATGCCCACTGTACAGAGAGTACTTAAAGGGTGCGCACTGTAACACTTTGTTGCAGTGTTTACATAATCCAAAAGTCCCGGTCATAAACCCTAAGTGCGAGCAGCGCTGCTACGAGGCTTCGCCTTACTTAGACTTAAGAAAAATTGTAAAAGAACAGAGACATTTTGATCGTTGGAGCGGCACCTCAGCTGCTCTTTCCAAATAAAAAACCAACCAAACTTAACCCTTGGAGATATCCTTAGTAGGGAATCCTTAGTATCCTTAGAAGGGAGTAGGGAACAGAGTAGCCGAGATTCTGGAGTCAACGAAGGTGGCCCAATGGATATGGCTACCGTTCGCCGACAACGTGGCGGATAATGCGACTCAGGCGCAACGCAGCGTAGACCTGAGCGAGGAGTCAAGCTGGTTAAAAGGACCGGCATTTCTGAGGAGATCAGCGCGCAGCTGGCCGGGAGCTGCACCTGCCGACGAAGCGGATGCAGAAGAGGAAAAGGAGATGTCGAGTTGAGGACTACGGCCTGGGTCCTAAGGCTCACACGTCGATGCCGTGGACAACGAGATGAGCTGGAGAACTACGGCCTCACTGTAGCTGTCACTGTAGTATAGCACAACGTGAGGCGTTCCCCGAGCCGCAGAGAATGGCCTGGATGTCGCTAAAAGAAGCGACATATGTAGACTTGCGCCATACCTAGATGGCAATGGAGTCCTGCGAGCGTATGGCAGGATTGATGCGGCGCTATGTATACCGTACAGCGCCAGGAGGCCAGTGAATTTCTCCCACCGGCACGGTCTCACGAAGATGATTGTGCGTGATGTCCACGTAAGGACGAAGCGTCAAGACGTGGATGCTACGATGACGGAAATCCGGACCATGTTCTGGATTACGAAGCTGCGGAGAGTGCTTCGATCTCGGGATGCAGCTAGTGTAAGCTGCACAGAGCACGGCCGATGCCGGCGATTATGGGACCCCTGCCAGAGGATCGTTTGGAGGCCAATGGCCGGCCGTTTAAGAGCACGGACCTCGACTACTTTGGACCACTGCTAGTGACCGTTGCTCGGCACCAAGAGAAACGGTGGATGGCCTTGTCTACGTACCTGACGACAATTCATTTGGAACTGGCACATGACCTGTCCACGGATTCCTGCATAATTGTAATCAGGAATTTCATCTGCCGTCGAGGGCCTGTACATAGACTGCGCAGCGACAATCGAACTTCGAACCCGAGAGGATCTAGTCGGAGCTTTCAAGTAAGGGCATTGAATGCCCATTGATCTTTAATTGCCCAGCGAACCCGTCAGAGGGTGGAGTCTGGGAGCGAATGGTACAGTGCGTGAAGAGGGTGCTGCGTCACACAGTGAAGGAAGTGGCGTTGAAAGAGCACGCACTGGAGAGTTTCCTGATAGAGGCGGAAAATATTGTTAATTCTCGTCCGCTCACCCATTTGCCAGTGAGTGCAGATCAGGAAGCCCCTCTTACGCCAAACGATCTATCCAAGGGAGCAGCTTGCCCACCGGATACCCCCCGCCTGAATAGGGGCCTCATTAAGGAAGGAGCTACGCGGAAGCAGTGTCGCGTGGCAAGGATGTTAAGGAACCGTTTCTGGAAAAGGTGGGTCTTGGAGTACCTACCCACGCTGACACGAAGAGAGAAGTGGTGCCGCAGAGAGAAGCCGATTCAACGAGGAGACATAGTCTTCTTTAGCGATCCAGCCGTTCCGCGTCGAGACTGGCGGAAAGGCGTCGTGGAGGAGGCCTTTGCTGGAACGGATGGTGAGACAGACGAGACCGCGTTACAATCATGGATGGAGATCGGACTCACTGGATAATGCGCCCCGCTTCAAGATTGGCGGCTTTGGATTTGAGTGAAGGGGTTCTTCACGGAGGTGGGAATGTCGCGGATCGATTGTCGATAGTTTAGTATTTAGTATTAAATATTGCAATTTGGTATTGTACCCTCATGAAGAGATTGGGCACACTAGATAGATAACTATGGCGTGCTCGTGGTGAGTTTGTCGTCACGGGTGTATGTGTGCGTGGGATTTCGTTTCGAAGCCAGCGCACAAAATTTTGATTTTTCTTACTTTTCAGGCTTGCTACCCTAACAAAATCGGGTATTCGTTATTTGGTGAAATGACGAATGAAATTATGTTATTTTTTATATTATGTTTTTTATTATTTCAGCATAGATTTTAAATTTTTTAGGAATAAGATGAAGTGTTAGTAGTAAAATGTTTTCTATATATATAGTTTTACGAATCATTAAAAATGAGCATACTGAGAAAATGTCAGAGTATATTTCAGTTGGAGTCACTTAAAACCCGATTGATTTTAAGTTTTTGTTGTTCTGCAAGAGGCTTGTGCATGCCTACTCTAACGATGGAATAATTTTGGCGCGCAAGTTAACACTTTCATTGCCAAGAATACAATACAATACATCATAAAACCATATAAAAGCATAAAACCAAGTGCCTGAAAGCATAAAAAGTGCCTGAAAAATTGTAAACAAAAAAGGTAAACAAGTCCATCAGCTGTTTTCGTGTATTCACCCTCCCCTAAAAATCATTCCATCAGTCAAGAACTGTGTTTTACCTATCTTCCCCTAGCTCACAATCATGCTACAAAAATGCTACGAGAGCGACTACGCAGTTGCTACGAGAGCGACTATGCAGTTGCTACAAAAGCACAATATTCTTTTCGTTGGCTCTACTCTCATCTCGCTGTCGATGCTTGTGCTATTGCTATAACTACAAATAGCGTGTCGCGCATTTTCTTGCTATTGCTATTTCTCCGTGCTCCGACGTTCAGTGCTACAGAGCAGAGCAGAGAGCAGCCGTTTTGATTTTGTGATCTCTGCTGTGCTACAGAGCCGATTGAAAACAGAGCAATAGCGGCAGCAAAAAAAAATACTCTGATGTAGCATAGCATTTTCAGTCACTGGTTTATTCTAAGCTACTAATGAACTATGCTAATCAACAATTCGAATGGGTAAAATGATCGGTCTAACATTTTTATAAACTTCTTGGAAAGAAGTCATGAACAAGGGAATTTATTAAAAAAAAAGCTTATTCCTTTACCCTGTAATTCTTCCTTTCCCTTTCTCTCGCAGGCCTGCCTTTTGCCGTAAAACCTGCTCTCATACTGCTCTCTCGTGAGATTTTTTGTATTCTCTAAACGTATTCTCATTTTTTAGCGAGTTCCACTACGCGACCTGGCAATATGCCATGACAGCCGCATTTATAAAGATTTTAACAGCGAGTTTCACTACAAAATAAGGCCAAGTTAAGAATATATTTACATATTTATCTTTATGTGATTATAAAAAGTTAAAAATTGTATGTTTACTAAAATTTTCTGAATTTTAAATAATAACTATATAAAAATATAATATTAAGAGATAAAAGAATAATTAAAATGGTAGACTCGAGCTCGATTTGAATTCGTTTCGCTCGTATAATATCGTATAATATTAAGAGATAAAAGAATAATTAAAATAGTAGACTCGAGCTCGATTTGAATTCGTTTCGCTCTGCACACAATAACTTTTGCGCGAAAAATATGTTAAACTTAGCTTGTCGTTCTGTGGAACACGCACGATTCAGCGTTCCATTCTCCATTGGAACACTTTTGTTTCTATGAGATGTCAAATCTATGTATGTCTTTAAACTCTATGGTTCGACGTTAGCTTGTCTTAGTTAAATTAAATATCGATACTTTCTGAATACATATTAATTGTACTTGGAGTAAATAAAAATCTTATGTTAAGATAAACATATAATAAATATAATTGTAATATTTTAAAACTGTAAGAAATTAAAAGGTCCGTACTAAGCTTGTTGAATTGTAAAATTTTCCAGTTCTGGGTAATAAAAATATGTGTAATATATGTTTTATAGGGTGTTGTCCCTACGCCTGATTTAATATATGTACATACTTCCATACATACATGTACATAGTATGTACATGTACAATTATTGCGAATTATTTAAAAAAACTTAAAATTTTTGTGACAGATATATTTGCCACGAAACACTTAATATAAAAAATGGCCGAATCATTACCAACTAGTACAAGCATTGAAGGAGCTGCTACTTCGGTAGATTCACATCCTAACGCCGAAGTTATAAGAGGGCAAATATTTGAAGTGGCACCGAGATATACCAAATTAGCATATATAGGTGAAGGAGCTTACGGGATGGTTGTGTGAGTATTCCTATATAAAGTGAAACGAGTATACATACATACACATATATAATCTAACGTTTAAGCTTAGCAACCTCGTAATAAAAAAATGGTTTATGGATTGGTCTGAAATTAAAGAGTCGAAACAAGAAAGAACGCTATAGTCGAGTTTCCCGCCTATATTATACCAGGTACTCATCTCTTACATTACCTAAACTTTAAAAGTTTAAACCAGGGGTGCCCAGGCCCATTGCTCTCGTTGCTCCTTTGTTGTTAGAATTGCTCTTTCATATGGAAAATTAAATGTCATATATCTATGTACGTGTGTTGCTCCCAGCATAGGCAAAGCGCAAATACAAAAACAATTTTCCATGGTTTCCCTATTCTCCTCAATCGTGCTAATCCGAATGTATTTTTTTGTAGGATTGCCAAAAACTTTTTACTGCAAAAAATTCACTTTTGTTTTTATTTCGGCCAAAATGGTCGACTAGTTAATTACTAGCGAGAGAAAGGGATAAAAGTATAAAGTTATGCATTAATTGGCATAGTATAATAATAAGCTGTTGCTTATTTGCTACAATAAAATGTATTTTTTATTACAATGATATTTATTTGAAACCCCTTGTAAATGTTACTAAAATTTTATTTTTCAGTGCATCGACATGAAAAAAATGGTGTAAATGTATTGGTGATTTTTTGCACTGCTATTGGAGTTTGCTCTGCCGTATACTCAGCTTGGGCACCCCTGGTTTAAACTTTGACGGTTTTAAAAAAATGTTGCATACTTTAGCGCTTGGGGAAAAAAAAAAATAATCAATTTAGTAGGGAAGCACAATAAAAAGTCTATAACTCCTCTTAATTTTGACTCCGATTTGGTTAATTTTTGATTCGTAGGTGTATATCAGTGGTCGGCACGGCCCTATCCCGAGGGCATAGGAAATTTCTCTTCCCGAGCTCTGCCACACACAAACAGTGTAAATGTGTGAAACGTCATGCTCACAGCCTACTTTCTGCTATTCGTAACTAACACTAATGCGCTAAAATCATATCAATGTATTGGGGTGCCGACCACTAGTGTATATTAGCCATTGGAACAGTTTGCCATATCGAATTATCAGTTATCCGATTTGAGTGGGTGTGGCCACATTTTGACACCAAATTGATCTGCTAGGAAACCTACGAGCCCAAGATCCAAATGGGTTGGCCTTTTTCTTTTATTTTTTTTTCATATATTCGAGATCCACGAGTGTACAATTTTAACTCGTATTACGAAAATTCGTTTTTTAAATTTATATTAACTATATGAATTGTTTGGCATCAAAAGTTATTCAAAAATCAATCACCTACCGGAGCGACCGAAATTTCCGATTTGTCGAGGCGGGATAGGGCGTCAAAAATTTAAAACTTTGAAAATTTAAAATTTAAAATTTTGAGATCCACGCGCTCAGACGGAAGGACACGGTTTTAACTACTCCGCCGATTAAGCTGATTAAGAATATATATACCTTATGGGGTCGGATGTTATTCCCTTTCATTGCTGCATAAATTGACACGAATACAATACATCCTTGTACTTTACGATTATCGTGTATAACAATAAATTTTCAATTTTTTATACCCTTGCAGAGGTTATTATAATTTTGGTCAAATGTGTGCAACGCAGTGAAGTAAGCATGTCCGAAGTACATCTGTTAGCATGTCCGTCTGTCGGTCTATCTCTCAGTTTCAAAGCTATCGTCTTGAAACTTTGCACACACCCTTCTTTCCTTTGTACGCAGTATATAAGTCGAAACGGCCCGGATCGGCCGACTATATACTATAGCTGCCATATAACTGAACAATCGGAAATAGTATTTGGTAAAATTACCAACTTTTGTTTCTTTGAAGATAGAAGCTTGAGGCTTTTTTTTAAGATTTTGTATTGTAAGAAATTAGTTTTACAAATTTTATGTTATATTATGATATTCTCATAATGATCGGCCCACTGCAAGAGTACATCAACTTTGGCTCCGCCCGAAGTAAGCTTTCCTTTCTTGTTTGTAAGTTGTTGTTGTATTTTAAACCAAGTAAAATGTTCAGCTCTGTTAAAAATTTCAGTGTAGAGTAGATCGAAGAAGAAAAAAATGACATTTGGAGTAGCAATTACACCAAAATGCAAAGAAGGTATTTAATAAAGGTATTACGATATTGATATAATATTTATATAACTATTAGAAAAGATAAATTTTCATCAACTTCATCATTAGATTCCATATATTTGGCGGATGATTGAACTAAAGCGAGGTATTTCGTTGGATGTTGGTAGTCATGACAAAATTGCCATGACGTCGCAGTCCATATCTATAACATTAAAATAAAAATACTTATTATATTTTAAATAATTTAAAATTTCAAAAACGAACATTATTAATATTGCGTGGAAGCTTTTAAAACACATTTTGTTGCGCAACTTTGTTTTTACGATGTTCATTTGGCTGAATACCCTCTCAACCGCAGCATTCGACCGTGGCAGTGAAAGTATATGCAAAGCAAATAATGGCAGATTCTCAAAGCTGCTAACGGCACCTTAATTAATCCCTTAATTGCAATATTGGGATCATACAATTTTGGAAATACAATTGAAATGGGACATGGAAAGCACAGCACTGAGGAAAAGCGTGATGTCATCCAAAAGCTGATAAAGGAGGGAAAATCGTACAGGGAAGTTGGTCGATTGGTCGGATGTTCAAATAAAATGATTAAGAACGCTCTAAATTTTAAAGAAAACCCGGAAACATGAGGATGAAAGCGATATATGACCCCCCATCATGTCAAACGATTGATTCGCCAGAGCAAGAAGGATCCTTTCAAATCAGCTACTGAGCTTAAAATAAATGCGACGGATCAAATTGTGCGTACATATCTCAGGCAACATAACCTAAACCTAAGCCTGCAGCCCAATAAAGGTACCACAATTAAATGCAACAAATGAATCTAAGCGAATGAAGTTTGCCAAGGAACATGCAAATTGGACATCCGAACAGTGGAGGAATATTTTATGGTCAGATGAGAGCAAGGTGGTTATGTTTGGTGGGAAACGATCCATATCGTATGTCAGACGTCCAAGGAATGCAGAATATAAGCCCTAGTACACCCCAAAGATCATAAAGCAGTGGTCTGCACGGCCCTATCCCGAGGTCATAGGAAATTTCTCTTCCCGAGCTCTGCCACACACACACAGTATAAATGTGTGAAACGTCATGATCACAGCCTACTTTCTGCTATTCGTTACTAATACTAATGCGTTAAAATCAAATCAATGTATTGGGGTGACGACCACTGCCATAAAGCAGTGGTGACCCAAAACATACGAAATGGTTATGGAGAGCCCTCCAGTCTCCAGATCTTAATCCAATAGAAAATTGGTGGTCGGACGTCAAAAGGGCAGTCGCTGCATCAAAACCAACATCAATCGGATCCCTTTGGGAAGTAATTAAGAAGTCCTGGACTCAAATTCCCATAATGCCAGGACCTAGTTGCGATGCCAGGATCTAGTTGACTCTATACCAAGATGCTGCGCAGCTGTTATTTCCAATAAAGGATAAAGTAAATACCACATAAAGTAATACCACAAAGTATTAAATGAAGAACATAAGATTTATAAGCTCAATATTGTTATCTCACGAATAGTGGAAGTTCCTATAGTTTTAAACCTATTTTTGAAAAGTGGTACTATTATTTTTTTCGTTATGTTTTATGAGATTAATTAAATTTTCTTGAATAGTTTAAAAACTAAAACAAAAATCAATTTTTTTTCACTTGTTTTCCTTTTTTTTTTTTGTTTCTTGGTTGCGATTTGATTTAATTAAGGTATTGCATGTTTTGATAGAGCTAAAAATATAGGTATGGTGTGCGTGCAAATGAAAGAAGGGTGTGTGCAAAGTTTCAAGTCGATAGCTTTAAAACTGAGAGACGAGTTTGCGTAGAAACAGACAGACGGACAGACGGACATGCTCATATCAACTCAGGAGGTGATCCTGATCAAGAATATATCTACTTTATAGGGTCGAAGATGTCACCTTCACTGCGTCGCACACTTTTAGACTAAATTATAATACCCTCTGCAAGGGTTGCCTTGAACCTGCTGTAGATACAGCTTTTCCTTTCAAATACATTATTTCTGTTAGCCATTGAAACTTAGTACAGCATCTATTTTTGGTCAGTTCATCCAACCTACCAAATTTCATAAGGATCGGCCGACTATATCTTATAGCTGCCATATAACTGAACGATCGGCCGCTATAAGATTATATTAACTTTAAATTAACGACATAAATCTCACTGTTGCGGGAATTCGAAGTTGTTTAGCGCCGCCCGAGTAAAGACGCCCGTGTAGATAATTGTTGATAATTGTTTATTTTCATTTATAACGGGGCAGCAAGGGCTAACAGTGGTACAGTCGGTAACCGCACTGCGATGGCAGCACTTTAAATTCCTAGCAAATTAAAAGTTATACAATTCATAATCAAAACTTAAATATTAATATGTCCTCACTTTTCGTCCGCTTCCCTCGAGTGTCAAATAGAAAAGAAAGCTTAGGCACATGGTTACCGGCTGAGTTAACAGAGCTTCAACACTCGCTTAAACTATCGATTCTGCAACTTCGGCGTTGCCGGATGCCGCGGGAGCAGTTTTGCTATCTATCGTAACACTCCCCACTTGTATATTCCGCCAGGGATCTACCAAACTACTCTCGATAGATAGAACTGCCAGCTTCGTCGCGGGTCTGGTATAAACGCCAGATTGGGTCCTCACCTCGGCGCTCCTTACTTGACCGTCCGAGCTAAGGTTCACCTTCAGGATTCTTCCTTTCGGCCACTGGCTACGCGGCTGTCCGGGATCGCACACATACACGATATCCCCTTCTACAAGAGGCTTAGCCTTTTCGCACCACTTGGCCCGCCTAGTGATCACTGGCAGGTATTCTTGAAGCCATCGCCTCCAGAATGAGTCCGCCAGTTGTTGTGATTCCCTCCAGCTTT